CATCACCCAACATTCAGCATTTCAGAACCTGGAATCAGTATCTTCTGCAGAAAGGCCATGAGTGTGAGGCTTTCCCTAACTTCACCACCCAGCAGAAGCTCCAGGCTTCACTGAGAGGGGACTGGGGGCGGGGGTGGGAGCTCCAGCATAACACAGTATCTCTGTTAATTAAAAGGGGGGAAATCCAAGTAAGAGATTTTAAAAGAGATGTGGTAAGGTGAGCGGTTCTATCTCCCAGCTTCCAGAAGAAACCTTTGCTGATTAAGACCCAGGGTAATGAGGGCAGAGAAAGAGGGGATGGTGTGGCTTCAAAAGCCAAGATATTGGCATGATAGAAGAGCTGAAGACAAAGGCAGGAAGCAGAAGAATGGGAGAGGCCCAAGGGCGACTCACCTGGGTCTAACAAAATGAAGGAGGAAGGCAGGTAACTCTCTTTGTAGGAAGCCCCACCCTTCTGGCCAAAGCACCCCTAGGGACAAAGCCACTGGACCAAGTTAATACAAACAGCCTCCTATCACTATCACATGCACACACACACATGCACACACATACCACACACATGTATACACACAGCCTCCTCTCTCACACAAGCACACACACCACACACACATATACACACAGCCTCCTGTCTCATACATGCACACACACCACACACACATATACACACAGCCTCCTGTCTCTCACACACACACATGTGCACGCACATGTATACACACAGCCTCCTATCTCACACACACCACAGCCTCCTATCTCACACACACATGCGCACACACGTATACACAGTGTCCTGTCTCACATACACACACACACCCCCCCAAAGCCTATCTCACACACACACACTACAGCCTCCTGTATCACACACACATGTGCACACACATGTATACACACAGCTTCCTATCTCACACACGTACACACCGCACACACAGCCTCCTATCTCACATGCACATGGACACGCACACCACACACATGTATGCACATATCATACATGCATACACACACCACACACATGCACACACACACATACCACACACATACACACACACACACACACAATCAAACAAACCAACCCCCCATTCCGAAGCATCACTCCATCTCTTGGTTGTGGGCTTTTTCCAAAGCTGCCCCCCTTTCTTAAAGTGCCCACTCCCTTGAGAGCGAAGCCAGAGACCCTGGTCCACTCCAAGCCACGGGCCCCCTCCCCTCCCAAGTGGCAGAGGGTGGGTGCCCTCCAGGATGTCTGGTGGGGGCACATGTCTGACGCCCCCGAGGACTCCACGGGGCCTTGCCATCCACCCCACCAGTGAGGTCCTAGCTAGCACCTTGGGGCGAGGCCGACCAATTCTCCTAATATGTGTCTTTCTTCCCCAACAAGAAGGTGAGCTCCCTGAGGGCAGGGCCTGCCTTGCTCTTCTCTCTGTATCCATTGGCCCACTCTGGCCCAATGCTTGGTACTTAGAAAGCTTTCATATGATGCTTCTGTGTGTGGGTCTTCCTGCATCCCAGGGTGGTGAAAAGGCACAGAATTCCAGTGCTCCTACTTCCTACCCACTCATGGGATTCACCTTCTCTGGGACTCAGCTTCCCTCCTTTATAAAGAAAGGGGGGCTGCGTGAGTCAGCGTCTAAGGTCCCTCTGCTTTGGTTTTCCCATTTGGAGGGAGTGAAGGAGGGAGAGGGCAGATGGGCCGAAAATGAACAGGGTACGAATCCATGCAAGTCAAACAGCACTTATTAAATGCCTCCTAGGTGCCAAGCACAAGAGACAGATGGTCAAACCCCAGTCCCTGCCCTCAAGGAGCTGCCAGTCCAATGGGGGAGACCCCCCCCCATCAAGTGAGGTGACAAACAAGATGACAACAGGATCATTTCATGGAGAGGGAAGGCATGGCGTTGTGGGGCTCGGGGCTGGGGAGCTTTGGCTGAGGCCAAACCAGAAACATAGAAGACGAGACGTTACCTCCAGAAAATGGAGCTCTCAGCAGAGCAGTGGCCGTCTAAGGGAAGAAGGCGGGAAGCGCAGCTGGTCGTGAGCAAGTCCAAGTGTTTGTTCAAAGCACCGAGCCTGGGGTCCGGCGTGGCCCCACCGAAGCCCCAGAGAGACCCGGCACTGGTGGGAGGAAAGGGCAGGCCACGAGCGTTTGTTGGGCACCACGCTAAGCACTTTGGAAAACAGGATCTCAACTGATCCTCACAGAAACCCTGGCGAGGAGGGGCAATCACTACCTCCACTTTGCAGTTGATGAAACTGAGGCAAACAAAGGTGAAGCGACTTGCCCAGGGTCACACAGCTAGTAAGTGTCTGAGGCCACATTTGAACTCAGGTCCCCCTGACTCCGGGGCCGGCGCTCTATCCACTGCGACACCCACATGTCCCTCTAGGTGGCTTTCCAAGTCTGACTCAGCCAGCTGGTTGGTCTGTCAGTCATTCAACAGGTACCATCTCTCCCCACCAGGCATTTTCTCTGGCTGCTCCTCCTGCCTGGAATGCCCTCCCTCCTCACCAGGGCTTTATCCAAGTCTCAGCTCAAACCCCACTTTCCATCAGCTGGAGCAGAGAACGCCTGAGGACGAGCCCCATGGTCCAAAGCAGTGGGCTGGGGGATAGGGGGAGAAACCCTCCTTCGCAGGCAGCCTTGCGCTGGCAGGTCATCTGGACTGCGTGGCACCTAGTCCTTCCCTATACACTCACACGCACATGTGTGCACATGCACACACACACACACATACACGTGTGCGTGCACACACATGCAAAAATGTGCACATGCACGCACACACACACACACATACACCACTTAAGAGTGGTGATTTCTAAGCCCCAAGGGCCTTCCCTTTGGCCCCAGTGACACCAGCCTGAATCTAAGAGTGCCCATAAGTGACACACATTTCAATGTCCCTATGGGAAAGTAAACCATGGATCACTTCTGAGGCCAGAGTCAAAGACTGGCCTGGGAATAGCAGTCTGGGCCTCAGAAAGGGAAGGACGGCTGTCTGAAAGGCGTCCTGGAAGGAGGTCCGTGGGCAGAGAGCCCTTTCAGATCCCGAGGAGCAAGAGCCCAGATTCAGCCTGCGTCGAGGCCCAGCTGGGGCAGGGGCAGGGCAGCCTAGCACATGTGGCAGAGAGAGCGCGGGCCTGGTGCAGTGGGTGGAACCAGGCAGTAACTGAGCCTCTTTATCTCTCTCAGCCTCAGTTTCCTCTTTTGTAAAATAAGGGGGTTGGATTAGTGGCCTCTGAGGTCCCTTCCATGTATGAAGCTAGGGTCCAATGGTCCTCAGCCACAAGCCCCAGAGTGGCCTCCTCCAGGACAGATCTCTCTCCGTATTTCCCCTGAAATCTGCTCCCTTCCTTCCTTCCTCAAGTAGGAAGAAATGTGGTCCCTGGTCTCTTTGGTGACTTCAAGAGGAAGGTCTCAAGTGGACTGGCAGAAAATGGCAGGAAACAGAGGCCAGAACTAGCCACTGGGTCTTGGGCCAGGAAGTCTGGTGGAGTGCCAGGACTGACAAAGCCAGAGTCGCGTCACCAGGCCCATCACGACCACACGTCCCTGGGGATGCACAGACCCCTGGTCTGCTGTTCAGAAGGCCCCCTTCCCTCCTGGAAGAAGTGAGCCAGCACGGCAATTGCTTTCTGGCCCTCCTGAGTTGGCAAAGCTCGGGCCACACTGCTTCACTGCACCCTCAGAAGCTCCAGAACAAACAGACGCTTTGGACCAAAATGGCGGTGCCCCCCGGAATGCAGGCTGACACGGCCTGGCCCACTTTGCTAACAATACTTAGGACATTCCTGTCAAACACTGTTAGAGATAACAGAGTTAAAGCCAACCTTGTATTTCTTTTCCATCAACTAATCAGGTGTGATCTCACCCCATCTAATGGCTTTACCAAACTTCCAAAGGGTGACAATGTGCCTCCCACCCACAGTTTGCCTTGCTGAACAGGCCTCGTTAGCCTCTGTGTCTATGGTGCCCTGGCCTTCCAGTGACAGGCTTCCCCATCCTCAGCTTGGGGGTCCTTGGGAAAGAGATGGATGGAAGGAAGGAAGGAAGGAAGGAAGGAAGGAAGGAAGGAAGGAAGGAAGGAAGGAAGGAAGGAAGAATGGATGGATGGATAGACAGATGGATGGGCAGGGAGATCATTTCTGATAGGCCTGGCACCTCGCTAGGTCCAAAATAAGCTGGAGCAGAAAACGTCTGCACCGGAATCCCACAATCCTGATCAAATCCAGTGGAGAACAAAAGCTCTCCATACAGGTCCATGGGTTCTATCGCCTCACAGGATTTTGGCCTCCCATCACCACACTGACCAGACGTGAGAACACAGTTCAGTGGGAGAAATCTGCATGAAAATGGCCCCTTCTGCCTCCCCTCCAACTCTCTTTCATAAAAAGGCATTTGTGAGTCTTCCCTCTCTCCCAATGCATTCCACTGCAATCACACCACGAATAAAATAGGTCTCACAACTAACTCCAGGATGACCTTGGCCATTCCCGTGGATGACCTTGGCCATTCCCATCTGATGAGGGGAGGCCACCAAGCATCTGGTCACCACCATTCTTCCTGAAACATCTGCCAGAGAAACCAGCAGTGGCGTAAGCCACACTGGGCTGAGGAGGTAGGGAGGGGGACTGTCCTACAACACACAGATCATGTTCTAGCTCCAGGACCACTTAATGATGATGAAAGGGGGCCCCGAATCAATCACGAGCAGATCATCTTAAGGCCAGGAAACTGCCATGAAACTAAATGTCCAAGGTAGCCAGCACTGAGCTGATTTCCTCTAGGGCAAGACCACCACTTCCCCTCTTTCTTTACCTGGGACCAGAGATGGGTCACACACTGCAAGGTGGTGGGAGACTCACCACTAAGCAAGCACCCACCACTCCTCCCCAAATCTCCATCAATCGCAGCCCGCCCACACTGCAATTAGCACAAAGGCCCAAATGTGGACAAACGCTGCTTCCACAGAGCCTGGCACTGCCAGGGCCTCCTCTTAGAGGGCGCTTACCTGGATGGGTTTGGGAGCTCATTGCGAGCGGGGGCAAGTCCGGTAGATAATTCAGAACAGGTCACAGAGCCCACAGCGGCAGCAGCTCCCAAGAGAGCCAATGTCCCACCATCACACACGCACAGACAGGCGGGAGGGGCTAGGCCATGTCCGAGTCACACAGGCATGACTGAGCAAGCAGAAGCAGCTGAAGGAGCAGCCACGGATCTCAGCAGGCTTTCAGAATCGGGACCTGTGGTCAGAAGGAAAAAAACACAACTTCTCAGATTCAGAAGAGCTCTTAGCTCCCAACTCCATTTCAGCTAGTTTGTTCTGTAAACAAATATTTATTAAGCACCTCCGACATGCCACAGGCTGGGAACACGAGGACCCAAAGAAGAGACCCCTGAGAGAACACCTGGAGCCTAGAAATGGACAGTCAGTGGATTGGAGCATGTGCGTGCTGGGGGACCTCAGGGCTTAAGGAGCCCAGGAAGGAGGGAAGGCCAAACAGAGCAGCTGGGATTGGCTCCTGGGAGTCACCGGCGCTTAGTGAGAAGGAGGTGACACCTCTAGGCTGACTATTCCTGGGTCCTTCGAGGGATCCCCATGTGACATGAACTTGATGCCCTGCAGTCTCCGGGATGCCTCCTCTGGACGTGATCCGTCTTATCAATGTCTTTTTTATTTCATTTTATTTTATTGGGTGAGGCAATTGGGGTTAAGTGACTTGCCTAGGGTCACACAGCTAATGTCAAGTGTCTGAGGCTGCACTTGAACTCAGGTCCTCCTGACTCCAGCTCAGGTGCTCTACCCACTGCGTCACCTAGCTGCCCCATCGATGTCTTTTTCAAGCCTAGGGGCAGGCAGCAGGGCAGCACAGTGGATCGGGCTCAGGAAGACCTGAGTTCTAATCCAGGCTCAGCCACTCACTAGCTGTGTAATGCTGGGCAAGTCACTTTGCCTCTGTCTGCCTTCAGTTTCCTCAACTGTGAAATGAGGATAATAATAACTCCCAGAATATTGGTAAGGATCAAATGAGATTATCTTTGTAAAATGCATTTAGTATTACTGTCATTATTATTGCTGATTGTTATGAGCACAACTATGTTTAAAATTAATTCCTGGTATCCCGAATGGAGCACAATCAGCCCCCATTTTGAAAGCTGTCATCTTCTTACTCCAGCCAGCCACATCCAGTTGCCAGACGTGTGCCATGTCAGCAGCTGTCTGGAACCCTGACGCGCTAAAGATCACAAGATCCTTGATTAGGGCTGGAGGGGGCTTCAGAGACCTGCTAAGCTTCTCATCGTACAGAGGAGGAAACTGAGGTGGGATGGGGGGGCAATGATTTCCCCAGGATTACCTTGGTTGGAGAGCAGGCCCTCTGACTCGAGATCCACAGTCCCCACAGTCCACGTCTTGGGCCTCTCTCTCTCACCAACAAACGAGTCTGTTGCGGCCCCTTCTGTTTCTAAACCTTCTCAAACTTTGGCTCTTCCCTCCCTCACCAGCTTCTCTGTCCTCCAAATGAAAGGTATTACTTCACAACATCTCCTCATGCCCCTGGACGCTCTGCTGTCTAGGAGACTCTTTACATTGTTTTTAAAGGGAACATTTTGTTTGGACGAAAGTGTGAACAATTCCAAGTTTCCCTGGGTTTAAGTTAGAGACTGTGACAGCTATGGCCTAGCAGAAAGGGGCTGCGTGTGGGCTCAGCTTTCAGGCCCAGTTCAGCCCTTGCCACCCGGCCAGGGGAGCTGGAGGAAGCAGGCTGAGGCGCTGTGCTCCAGCCTTCCGCCTGCCTGCAGAACAAGGGCCGGCACCCCTCTCCACACCCCAGATTACCCACAGCTGACATGTGCACATCTGCACTCACTTCTCCCAACACCTGCCATTTCCCTAGGAGGTGAGCTCCTGGGGGAAGGCAGGAATCCCCAGCACCCTGGACAGGGCCAGCAAATGGTGGGTGGCTGACAAATGCTTGTGGAGGACAATGGGTTCCAAAGCCAGGTAGCCGTTGACCACCTCAGTGACTCTGGACAAGGCGCTCAATGCCTCCAAATCAACCATCCCATGTAATGGACTACAACTCATTTCTCCACCCAGGAGACTCTTTGCCAGGGCCCGATGGGGCCTGTCTCGCCTGCCTCGGCTCTCGGGTTGGAGTGAGGGGACAGAAGATTCAAGGTCCAAGCCAGGCTTCTGCCACTTACCAGCTGTGGGACCTTAGGCAAGTGACTGTCCCTCTCTGGGCCTCAGTGACCCCATGTGTAAAACAGGGACTAGAACAGGGGGTCGACCTCGACCATCTGCTGGCTACCGGCATTCTCTGTGTTGTAATGCACTTTTACGTATTTGGTCGGCTCTTTCCCAAGGCCATTTTAACGCAGTCCAGCCACTCCAGCCCCTGTTTCTGATACCTCAGACCAACCCTCCAGCTCTGGATCTAGGATCTCAGGATCTTTTCTGCCAAGAAGCCAGTGTGGAAATCCCAGGGGCCAAGGACGGATGGACATCACGGAACAGACTGTCCCCCCAAGTCAGAAGACTCCTCACAGCGCCCACACACCCCACAGGGTCCACCTAGAGCTAGGAATCAGCCCAAGGCTCCCTTCCTGAGCACAGACTCCTGAGGACAGGCAGTCAACCTGCTGGCCAAGGCACTACCAGGAGGCACAGGGGCTTCCCTCTGAGGCTCCTAGAGTCCACTAAGTACCTGCCCATGACACAACCATCAGGAGGGTCCCCGGGGGTGCCCACAGTCTCCCAGGCAGCTCCTGGCATTCACCGACACTCCCCGGCCCTCTCAGCTTCAGCCTCCGCTACCGGCGCAACAGCCGCCCCCAGCCAGTTCTAGCCTGGAGCTGCCAGGGACCTCCCGCATGAACCCGAGCTTTCTCTTCTCCAGGAAAAGCATCCTCAGTCCCTTCAGCCCAGACTCAGAGCGGGTGACATCAAGGCGCCTTACAAGCCTGACTGCATTCCTCTAGACACACTCCAGCTTTTCAGTGCGGAGAGGAAAGGGAAGAGCCATGTATGAAGCGCCTCCTATATGTCAGGCGCTGAGCTAAGCCCTTTAAAGACACCATCTCACTTGGTCCTGCTCCCTAGGTGACCCTGGCACATCCCACAAGCTCCCTGGGCCTCAGTGTCCCCATCTGTAAAATGACGGGGTAGTTGGGATGGCCTCCAGAGCTGGGGTGCTGGGATGACCACAGGGTACCTCCTAGGTCCTCGCCCTCCCTGCCCCGGGGTGAGCCTCCACCTAATTCATGGTTAATTTGTAAAATAATTTACAAGAGCTCTGATGCTGCAAGTGACAGATCGGGAAGGAGGAGTGGAAACTGGCCAAGAGGAGGCCCGCAGGCTCTCCGCGAGGGCCCTATTCCTTCCCTCCCTTCTCTGAAGGTGGCCCTGGCCACCTTCAGTCATGCAGAGTAGAACAGCACAGGACACTGGGATCCCTCTGGGAGCCAGAGCTCAAGAGTGTGCTCAGAGAAAAGGGAAAAGAGGAAGGGTATGCTTTCTGCTAAGTCCCTTCCCCAGGTTGGTGATAACTGGCCCATCTCCTTCCCGCTGCACTGCTGGCTGGTACAGGGGCGTGAGGAGGAAAGAACGCTGGGGTGAGAGCTGGGGGACCTGGGCAGTCCCTTCCCCTCCCTGGGCTGCATAAAAAGACTCCAATGGCCCTTCCAACTCTAAATCTACCATCCTGAGTCCCTTCCCCATCTACAAAATGAGGGACTTAGACAAGGGGACCCCTGAACTCCCTTCTGTCCTGAAATCCATGAGGGTCAGTGAAAATGCCCCGTAGGGTTTCTGCCTGACTTTATAGACATGAAATCCAGCCTCTGGTCTACAGAGAGCAATCACACCTCCTACAAAGACACTTCCGAATGGGGTGATTTCATGTTCTCCCTGCAGACGTGCTCCAGGCAATATCGCCCAGAAAACAGTGCCTAGGTGGGGGGCTCACACGGCTGGGAAACAGCAGAGAATCTTGGATTGCTTCCACCATGCTGGTTTTTAAAATTCCTTGTTATAATGGATGGCTCTTTGACAGGAGGAGGGGAAGGCACAGGGTGAAACCCAGGCAATGGAAGTAGCTAGACAGCACTGAGCTTGGAGTCTGGAAGTCCTGGATTCAAATCCAGCTTCAAAGACCTGGGGCAAGTGAATTACCCTCTCTCGTCTAGAGGATAATAATTATACTGTCTGCGCAGGGATGCTGGGAGAGAACGTAGTGCAACCTTCAGATGATAGAGAAAGGCTTGTGAGCTGACTCTACTTACCCATGGAGCAGCAGTTAGCCAAGTCTGAGGGGCCCTTTCTCTGACTCAGGGACCTGAAGCAAAGTACTGTCTAAACCCCAAAACTCCCTCCCCTTCCCCCATCTGTGTCTCTCTCCCTCCCACTCTCTCTGCTGGCTGGCTCCCTCGCTGCCCGCCTCTCTCTCCATCTCTCCATCTCCCTCTGTGTCTGTGTGTCTTTGTCCCTCTTTCTCCCCCTCCCCCTGACTCTCTCTCTGTCTGTCTCTCTGTCTCTCTTCTCTCCCTCCCACTCTCTCTGCTGTCTGTCTCTCCCTCTCCCTCTAACTCTCTCTGGGTATATCTCTGTCTCTCCTCTCCCTCTTGTCTGTCCATCTGTCTGTCTGTCTATATCTCCCTCTCCATCTCATCTCTCTCTCTCTCTCTCTGTCTCTCTGTCTCTCCCCTCAACCCTGTCTATCCATCTGTCTTGTCTGTCTCCACTTCCATCTCTAACATTTCTGCATGTCTCTGTCTTTGTCTCTTCCCCTTGCCTTTGTCTGTGCATGTCTCTCTTTCCTTCTCTCTTCCCCCCACTCTCTTTGCTGTCTGTCTCTCCCGCTCCCTTCCTCCTTCTCCCTCTAACTCTCCGCTTCCATCTCTCCTTCTGTCTCTTGGTGTATATCTGCGTCTCCCCTGTCCCAACTCCTGTCTGTCCATCTGTCAGTCTGTCTGGTTCCCTCTCTATCTCCTCTGTTTCTCTCCTTCTCTCTGTCTGTCTGTCTCTGTCTCTCTCTGATGAAGAGAAGCCACACGCGCTCTCTATCGCAAGCTCAGCGGCAGTCACTGTGGGGGCAGCTTGCCAGAGGCAAGCGGTGGCAGGGCTGGACCCTCGGGACCTCAGGCCCGAAAAGGGAAAGAAGGAACAAGAGAGACAGCAGACACAGAGTGACCCCGGAGAGGATGGGAGCATGTGAAGGGAGACTGGGGAAGTCCACTAACA